AAAAATCTATATATAGTTTTTCTCAAGACACAAATACATACAAACAATCTGTGCATTCAAAACTATCTTCTTCGTGATAAGCAAGAAATATTATATAAAGCAAATATTTTTTAATATTATAATCAAAGAACAAAATAGCAATATAATAAGTTTTCTGTAAAACTAAACATTGTCAAAACAGATTATCTTTTTTATCTCAAGTAAAATTGAGATCCAACTAAATGTAATAATCTCAACATCAAACCAACTAACTCCTAATTCAAATGGAATTAAAATCTCCAGTAAATTTGCAATAAATCTTTATGAAATCATCAATCCAAAAGTCGAACATGTTGAAGTCGATACTTGACCTCAATTTCCTTAAAAATTCTGCACAAGAAATGCACATAAGAAAATTTAGAACTATATAATAATAGAAATTAGATGCCCATTAACTAGAACAATATATGATCTAGAGAATTAAGCCTTTCTGGTCGGACAACTGGACTAGTAGTGGTCCCCTGGCTTCCTAGTAGTCAAACTTTGGATAACATTCAGGTCAAGGATAAATAGGTGGAACAATGAGATGCTACAAAATTTTTGTTCCTACAAATCCAGCACTACATCAACCATATCCGAATAGGAAAAACATCAATGACACTCACAAAAGACTTCCTTTTTAGATTGGAGGATCATAACCAAGAGAGTCCCCCAGATGATACCATTGTGAAGTATCAAAAGAATAACGTTAATAATGGATTTCAACAACAAATATCCAGTCCTAGTTTTCAACATCAGACTCCAAACTGCACATGTTTCCCCACTCCTAATCTTTTTATGGAAAGCATATATGCCAATAAGGTATGGTCTTTCTTTGCCAACTCTCTAGGAATACTACATCAAAATCATAGTAGCCTCATATTGAGTTGGTGGGGATATCAAAAATGACTAATTGATTTTTTCTAAAAAATAAACATATTAAGGAATTGATGCAAAAACAGTAATTATATACATGAAATTTTCCTCCTTTTGAAAGAAAAGAAAGATCTTGTAGTTTTTTCAAACATACCCACTTCTTTTTATTTGTGCCAACTACGGTAGTTCCAGTTAAGGCTGGCAAATGGACCGGTTTTTGTCTGGTCCGGTCCGGTTCCGGTTCGGTTCCCGTACCGGTAAGACCGGTACCGGTTGAACCGGTAAGGAACCGGTCTTATAGGTACCGGAACCGGTACCGAAACAGAACCCGGATTTTTATCCGGTTGATCCGGTCCGGTAAGAACCGGTTCCGGTCCGGTTCAACGGTCAATTTAATTTATTTATTTATTTTTATTTTTTTAAATGTGAACGTTAAGGAGCCGTTGGGCCCTTTTAGCCGTTGGGCTGGGGCCCAAAACGGCTCCAAACAGCCCCCCACCCCTCTCTACCCCTTAACACTATAAATATACTCATATTTTTTCATTTAAATCACAAATTCACAAACTATCTTATAAAATCTCTTAATTTTCAATCTCTCATAAATTCATAATTATTATTTTGTGATATTGACTTGGAGTTCGAATTTCGGAGATTTATTTGAAGTAAATCGGAAGCTTCAATTGGCATCTCTCAATTCCGGCTTTGGTTATACGTCTACTTTTACGTAGACGTTCGGTACATTCGTTCCAACTTTAATTTTTATTTGTTTATTAATTAAGTTAATTTATTTTTTTGTTATATTATCTTTGCTTGTTTTTCATAATATTAATTATTTTAAACTTGAACATGAATTTTGAAAAATATAGTGGTAAAAGACCAATGTCGGAAAGAAAAAATAATAGGGGAGGAGGAAGTAGTTCTAATTCTAAAAATTTGCCACCTCCTAGATTTAGAATTAATACTAATGATTATACTCATGTTGATGAAACTTCTTTTACACAAGACTCACGACCTATTGAATTTAATTCCGAAAATGAAGTAGATCATGAAACTTTAAATAGATGTTTTACTAATTTTGAGGAAGAATTAGATGAGGAAGTAGAAATAAATGAGGAAGATGATGAGACCCCTACCCCTACTAGTCCGGCTACCGAATTACCGGAACAAGATGAAGTCCCCTCTTTACCTACTTTTTCAAAGACCGTTGTACGTGTTAAAAGATCTTTAGTATGGAAATTTTTGGTACAAAATGAGGAAAAAACTACTGTTACTTGCACGAAATGTAAATTGATCATGAAACATGTAACTACGGGTACACAAGGGGGAACGGGACGACTAAGAACACATTTGAGAAAGTGTAATAAAGAATTTGCTCGCCTAGATGAAATAGAAAGGTCTAATAGAAATGGAATACCCATACCTGAAAATTCTATGGGAGTTGGAGGTTCTAATATGGTTCAAAGTGAATTAAATATGACTAACCCGGCTAGCCGAAGCACACACCGCACATATAGTAAAGAAAAAGATCGTAGAGAATTAGCTAAAATGGTTGCTGTTTGTGGTTTGCCTTTTTCATTTCCTTCACATCCTGGTTTTATTCAGTATATTCGGGAATTGTATAACCCAGATTATGAAGGTATTCCAAGAAGTACAATTAAAAGTGATCTTTTTAAATATCAAAAAGAATATTGTCATTTTCTTCGTTGTTTATTTGCTTATTATGATGGTAGATTATCTATTACTTCTGATATGGGACGTAGTCCTAATGGTAATGATTATTTTACAATTACTGTCCATTGGATTGACCATGAATGGAACATGCAAAAACGAATATTAGGATATAAATATGTTGAAGAAACTAAAACCGGTGCTTATATAGCAACAAAAATAGGCCTTGTTTTACAATTTTATGGAATATGTGATAAAATAATGAGTGTCACTTTAGATAATGCTTCTAATAATTTGAAAGCAATTGATTATTTAAAATGTAGACTTTGTCCAATTGATAATGATTCTTTTCATATTAAGTGTGCCGCACATGTGTATAATTTGATAGTAAAGGATGGTGTTTCTCAATTTGGAATTTCTTGTGAAAAAATTAGACTTGCTTGTAATTGGATTTTTAAAGCTAAAATAAAAGCTAGAATTATAGAATTTAAAAATCGTTGTAAAGAATGTGGACTTGAATATAGAAAAGTTCCAAAAGAAGTATGCACTAGATGGAATTCTTTATTTGAAATGCTTCAAGTTGCTTATATTTATCAAGAGCCGGTACAATTAGTTTTTAATGCTCATAATGCGGACCCGAATTTGAGAATTGGCTATGAAGATTGGGAAAATACAAAAGAACTTATTGAATTTTTAAGTGTTTTTTATAAAGCAACAAATGCTGCTTCTGGTCAATATTATCCAACTATTTCTTCTGTTTTAGTAAATATTTGTGCTATTTCATCTGAATTTGCAAAATATAAAGGAAAAGATCGATTTGAAAATTCCCTTGCTTTTATGATTGAAAAATTCAAAAAATATTTTTTCCCTATTCCTCAAATCTATTTGACTACTACTACTTTCAACCCAAATTACAAATTAAAAGGTGTTGAAAGAATGGTTGAAAAGATTTATGCAAATTTAGAAATTAAAGATGATGAAACTCCTAGTGTTGAAGATTGTAAAAGTAGCATATATATAAAAGCTAGAGAGTTATATAATACATATAAATCTATGGAAAAAAATATTCCAATAGTTGAACCTCCATCTTGTAAACCTAGAAGCGATGATACGGATGATTGGATGGATGATTATCTTGAGCTTGAATCATCTACTAATAATGATTTTGATTTATATTTCAATCAGGCACGGGAAAAGATTAGGCATGAAGAAGGACAACTTCAAGCTCCAATATTAGTATGGTGGAAGAATCGTGAAAATCAATTTCCGACCCTTGCTAGGATTGTTCGAGATGTGCTAGCGATTCAAGCATCATCGGTCGCTTCAGAGCAAGCCTTTAGTGCGGCGAGATTTATGATTGGAGATCATCGATATTCATTAGCAAAGGATAGTTTGGAAATATCGGTGTTGTTTCGAGATTGGGTCAATGCCGAAAGAAGAAATACCGGACTACCACAATTAAATAGCCAAATAGAAGACGAAATAGATGAAATATTTGGTGATAATAGTGATGATGATATGGAAGAAATTGAAGTTTTTTAATAATATAATTTTATTAATTAATAATATAATATTATATAATAATTAAAGTTAATAAAAAAATAAAAAAAAATTACCGGTACACAATGATCCGGTAAGAACCGGTTCCGGTCCGGTCCAAACCGGTTCCAATCCGGTAACTAAGGGACCGGACGGAACCTTTGGAAATTTCCGGTAAAACCGGTTCCGGTAAGGAAATCCGGTAACGAGGACCGGTTCCAATAAAACCGGTCCTGTTGATCCGGTCCTGTCCCTTTGCCAGCCTTAGTTCCAGTCTTCTTGATCATGTTAGCCTGAAAAAAACATTAAATTGATTATTTTGATACTTTACGAAATACAAAACTTAACATTTCATTGAATACATAAGTGTGCCAATTTTTCCAGAAGGAAAATAAAAAAAGAAGATATATTCTTGCTTCAACAAAACAAACATATCTTTAAGAGTCGAAGCAACACAATACCAGAATTTTGGTATCCTGCTTGATACTTCCCCATAGGAAAGAGACATGACTTTCCTAGTTACTCTGTGGCAGTTCAAACATTAAAAGCAGAACAACAATAGAAGTTCTGTAAACATAATAGTCCAAACAAATTGTTTATAGTCTGGTTCAGACTTGAATCTTTAAGAGAAATCTCAATAAGAGTATATCCAACAATCCAATAATCCTCTCCTAGGTCGAGTCATTTTAAATAACTATTGTACCACTTACGAGATCTTTGCTTGGGCTTGGCATCAAGAAACGTCACAACAATATGTGAAGAAATTTCTATGAAAGTTCAAAACTTCCTCTGATGCTTCTTCTGACTTATCCATGTCCATTTCCCAGAAAATCATCAGGTTTTCCAACCCAAAAATGATGGCATTCTAACAAGAGAAACATGTATGCTTATGAAGGCACATACACATACATCATCCTACCCTCTTTGCTTTCAATTAATACGGGGGGGGGGGGGGGGAGAAAAATATGATGGGAGAAACACTAAATTTCAAGTTTACTTGACCACCCCAATGAATCTAGCTGGTTAATATAGGAAAAGAAGCAGCTTTTAGCCACAGAACAGAACACATTATAATGGTCAGCAAGTAGAAAGTTTCTGACAATCCTTTTTTGTAATGATCTTATCTAAGTAAATTTCTGAGTTTTTGGCTAAAAACATCCTTGAACTATACTATAAACTTAAAGCACATCCTTGTAATATCATAGTTAACAAAAAACATCCTTCAAATATCTAAACATTAACAAATCCCATCCATTAGTTAAAGACCGTTAAAAATCTAACGGAGTGGGTGAAATTCACTAAAAACTCCTCAGATTTGAACACTTCACATTCTCTCATTTCTCAGAAATATGAATTTTAACTTTCATTTGTTGAAGTATGGTTCATTTTCCATAACCACCCTCTCCGGTCATTTTTAAATTTGTGATGCAATAATGCAAAGACAAATCATACAAACGTGCAGATACTGAAACCCAGTACCTCTCAAGAAAATGAAGAATGATTGTTTTCATATGCGGTATATGTGTTGTTCAGACTGTCTTTACTCTTAATTAGAAGAAGGTAAATTAAAGGCAATAGCAAGCATAGTTAGTTTTTTTCGATAATGATCCAAAACCAATGAAGGTAACAGTGTCCATATTCTACAAAAACAGGAAATATTTTCCCTCTCAATTTGGTTCTTTATTTTTAGCAATCAAAATTTAGCTAAGAGCTAACAACTTATTGTTATTATGCTAATGTATATGTATCTGCTTTGGCAAAAAAAAAATCATAAAAGTGTCAGAAATGTCAATCCAATTACATCTTGTGCATTATTTCATCTGGTAATGCTACTAACATATTTCTCGTTTCATTCACATTATAATACATATTTACAAAATCTCCTATTTTCCATCTTTCATTTTGTTTCTGCTCTTTCATTGTGAGCACTCAATGGCGTCAACAGAAAGACGAAGTACTAATATTTAGAGATGATCGATGTTGATTCTACCGGTTAACCAACTTAAGGAGGAAGAAGATAGACTATGATTAAAAAAAAAGAACCTAGTTGCAAATAGGGAAACTATAGTAGTATCACATGAGTTTCAAAATGCTCTGTTAGATTTCAAGCAATTCTTGACAGAAGGGTGAAACTTGCTAGATTTTCAATAGTTGAAGGATGTTCCTTGTTCACTATGATATTACAAGGATGTACTTTAAGTTTGGGGTATAGTTGAGAGATGTTTTTAGCCAAAAACTCTAAATTTCCTTTTATCTCTTTTTAAGTATTTCTGATAGTTAAAAGACTGATATCCCAAAAAAAAACTCGCAGTTGCCAAAAAAGGCAGAAACCAGAAACTACTTAATGAAAAAATAATGTTCATTATTGTAACCCATGTTCTTCAGTCTTCTTATCAAAACCCATGTTATGTTGATTTGACCCATCAAATCCTTCAGCACTAGTGTCCATATCAACAAAATTAGATGTAGGAGGAATTCCAAATGCTTCATGTAACATGTCTTGCATCTCATCACCTTTATCTAACTGATTGACCAATTTTGATGAAAATAGCTCCTCACCATGACAAATCCAACTAGTGTAACTAGTTAGAAATCCATCAACCACAATATGTTCAACAATCAAATCTTTTCGGACAAATTTCATATTACGACACTTTCGACATAGACACAATATTGCAGATGCATCTGGCCTATCTAAAGATGCAAAATGAAGAAACTCTTTGGCTCCATTCTCATATAAAGGATCAAGCCTATTCTATATATTTATCCAACTTTTATCCATTAAGTATATAACCTATACATATAGCAAACAAGAATTATACCCTCATACTATTAAAGACTAATACCTCCATACTATTAAAGAAAAAAACAAAACACATTCTAACCTGCAAAGTCCACACAAAGAGTCCTGAAATTGATATGCAGTCGACTGACAGGAAAAAATAATACAACATCACAGATAGAGGCAAGGCAGCATCATTACCAAGAAGAAAAGCCATATCAGCAGGAAGAACAGTGGAAAACTCAAAAAAAGAAGAATAACAAAAACAATACAAACAATGAGGAGAGACCTAAGAAACCTCAAGAACAGATAGATCATGTAGATTCCCAGAAAACTCACAGTCATATAGGTAAAAATATTATTACTCATAACTCTTATACTGATCTTGTTGAACCAAATTAGTCCAACAGTCAAGGTACCGTCTAGGAAAACATGATTTGTCTGAGAAGGAAATTCAAAGGCTTCGAAGATCACAAGTATTGACTCAATGCTCCCATTACCTCTCACCCCTTTAGATAATTGTTTAAATCTTGTGAAAGTTGTTGGAGTGTTGGATGGAGGGTTGGAGGAGAATATTACTGACTTGCTGATGGTGATTTTCCCCCTATTCTCAGGGAAGGCCAAAGTTTGTACCTTTCAATGATGAATTGATGGAATCTACTATGCAGATATACAAAACTTATTTTGCTTTTAGGAATAGGTAATATAGTTTTGGTGGATTATCTTAAAATAATGCTTGGCAAATTGCAATGTCGTTTTTGTCATATGTGTTGTCTTTTTCCATATTTGTTCTTTGTACTATCTGATTGGGGCTGATACAGGAAAAGAAAATGTTCATTATTCTTGTTTTTTACCTTCAAGCCACAATACTTCAACATCTTCTTGAAAATGAATTAATTTTGCTTTTCACCTAATATGTTCATCTCATCTGGAGTACTAAATGTCACAGCTTTCTTTTATTGGTTGTCTCATACTATTTTCTTATATTAGTATAGTTAATACTGGTAATTAATTGAGTTCTGTTGTAGCTATTCTTATTTTCAATTATTGTCATTTTTGCAGAGAATTCCCAATTGAGAATGGGAAGGCATTGCAGTTCATTTACAGCAGCAAGCAGTTCAAGACAAAGGGAGCTTTGGCAGCTGGAACTGCAACTACCAACGTATATCGTAACGCACATTTCAAGAAGACAATGAAGGCAATGCAAACCCCTTAGGAAATATAACCATTAGCTTAATGGCATCCTAATATCTTACTCTTCGGATGCCATTAAGAAAAGATAACCATTCTTAAAGCATGTCTCTAGCACACATAGCAGCAAATGGAAAAGAACAGAATACCTTAATGTAATTTCTAAGTTATAAACATGAAAAGAAACTACTTAATAAACATGAATGTTTTTCAATGAACTTCAACACTAGGTTCCTATTGATATGATCTTTAAGTCAATCTAGTTCTAAATTTAACAGAATAGGCCAAAAATGATAATTTTTCTTGACACTAGTAAACTTATAGCCATTAAGTAACACGAAGAAGAAAAACAATTCGACACCAAGCTAATTCAAGGACCTATTCAAAACTGAATACATGAAGGGTATACAAACTACAAAGGAATCAGACTGTATATGGTACCAAAAATCTCTATAACGTCGAGTTTTAGAACACTAAATCCGCGATATCAACAAGAAACAATTTTGTTGGCATATAACAAAAAGCACTATAGCTATTAATTTGGACAGAGAACTAAAGAAAAACAAGATAATATTTACGCAGAAGTAAGACGAGCAGTAAAGATTAATCACATGCTCGACAAGTCAGTAGTTCTTCTTCTGATATTGTTAGCTTCCTTAACCCTTTACATGTTGATGCTAACAGTAGCCATCAAGATCACAACACGTGAAAATTAATATCCAGAACCAAAAGAAAACATAAAAGCTTCAAAAATAATACGAAAAGAGAGAAGTTGAGAAGAGCATTTTCTGAACTCCAGTGATTTTTCTTTCTTTGCTTTTCATCCCTCCATTGATTCTAAGGAAAGCCATGCTCAATCAAGGGATGAATAATCAATTACATGAGTCCCCAAACCGAATCAAACAAGCAAACTATTGCAGCAAACAATCGATTAACAAATAGAAAAGGTGCATCTATTAACAATTTTCCAGTGCATCCATCAACTGTAGTAGTCAATTTGCTTTGTATAGGAGGGGAACTCATTAAGAACCATTACATTAATAACCACATCATCATTGACTATATCCTTTAAATGAGCTATCTTTTCCATATCTATTACTTCTCCAATAACAAGATCAAGTCTTATAACTTTCTCAACTAGCAAATATGCAAAGGCTGCTTATGGTAGAGCATCCAAAAATTTAACCAGTACGTTTGTATTACTATTAGTGCTAATAAAGAGTCTTGGTTTAAATTTAAGGCATCGATGAGGTCCTGTAAGGCTTCATAAACATGGGTATATATGATTTCTAGGCAGCATTGGTAATGATTTCTTAAGAAACAAAGCCACGAGTTTAGAGTCACTCTTTAAACCACAAACTCAACAATGCAGACCAATTTAATTGCAATTTTTTTTCTCTACAAAAAGATCAAAGTTCAAAAGATCAAAACCATCACATAAAAGAAGCAAAAAAATAGTGAACCCCACGAATTGAACACACGCAGAAAACAATCGATTATGAAACTAGAAAGGAAAATCGATTATGAGCATGCTAAAACTAGAAAAGAAAAAAATTACAGTAACTTGTTCACAGATTCGTTCACAGTACAGTAACTCAATGAAAATTGAAACTAAAACCCTACGCACTCAAAATTATTGAAATTAAAACACTAAAGAGGAAGGAGAAATTACTGTACCTCGTTCACAAATTCCTTCACAGATTCAAATACTAAGAGAGACGATGCCAGTATCCAGTAACTCTGAGAGAGGCGACGCCAGTATCCTCTTAGAGAGACATGCTAGTAACCTCTGCTGAGGCCAAAGTGATTTAATAAAATCACAAATCGTCACAATTGTTTGAATACTTGGGAATCAAAATATGTGTAGGATGAGATGAATCCAGCAAAACCTACAAGAAAATATAAATCAAGAACTAAATTGTGAAACCTTGAAACTTCACATAGTTCCGAAAGTCAATACTTTTTCAATTAGTTAACCTGATCAAAGATTTGTTTCAGTAAGATCATAAGTTTGTATGAAATAAAAACCTTAGGATTACCTGTGGATGGAGATGGTTACCATGAATTTCTTTGCTTGAGCAATGTGTTGAGGGCGTGAGGCGATATACAAATAACTATAGACTTTAAGCAGTAGTAGGGTTTTTTTTTTTAAAAAAAAGTTCTTATTACTAATAGGAGGGAATATTTTATCGTAGTAGAAAAATTAGAGGAAAAACTTAATAGCATGAAAAATTAGAGAGAAAAGTTAATAAATTTTCTTTTACTTTAATAAACTTAAAATGAAAGTTTTATTTTTTAAGCCAATTATTTCAACTTAAACTATAAACTCACTTAGAAGCTGGAAAAAATCTATAAAATCCAATCACTACAACTCAAACTATAAAGTTGCTCTAGGACTACATAAAAATCCACTTACTTCCACTCAAACTATAAGCTTTCACTCAGGAAATTGCATAAAATATACAAAGTTAAATTGTTTCCGCTGAAACTACACAATTTCACCACAAGCTGCATATAATCTATAAAATTCCACTTTTCACAATTATAAACTCAACTCAATAAGAAATAGTATTTTTATTTATATCATAGTATTATGTGTTTTGATGTTTCTTTACCAGTGTATGGTTGTCTTTATGTGTAAAACTTTTTAAATTTTTTTTTACCATACCAACAGCTCTCTGTTACAATACATTAAAAGCTATATCAGCTCAATGTATATCTAACTAAGTTCAAATAAAGTTATTTAATCAGAGATACTTAAACTCTTTCGTACGTAAATATGTCATTACAATGTAATGTGTATTCAATTTCTAATTAACTTTTAGAAATATAATCTATAACATATACATATACTCATAATATTATTCTTTAAAGTTTCAATACTTATGTATTGTAACCTATTAGGTTAACATTAAACAGATACAACTTAATAAACACATAGCAAAAAAAAAGGTAAATTTACTTAGAAATATATATATGCAATAGTACATAGGTACTAACCTTAAGTAACTCACTATAATAACTGAACTTTGCTATCAATAAACTTGCAGATACAATTTCTTCCCATAAACACCTTCTACACCATCTACAAAACTGAATTACAAAACAATTCAACAAATTAGTATAAAAATTTTACACCAAAATAAATATTTTTATTTACAATATATAGATTGGTGAGAAAGAAACGGATATATACGAAAATTGAATATCTTACTTACATATTGGTTTATTAAAGATATATCTTCCCAAATTAAAATATTTAAATAATCATTTACCTTTTTATGCAACATACTCAAATTTATCATCATCAACTCTCACTTTAATGCTCAAACATACAAAGATGAGAAAAGTACAAATATCACCTGACATTGCAAAGAAAATTTAAAAATTATATAATAAAAGAAGAGAACAATCACCAATATAAATAACAGAACCTGCTTCAACATAAGCTTATTAACACTATTTTATAGTATGCATGTAGTAATTTATTACATATTTTTATTTTAAAATATTATACAGCACCTTAGCATATTCCCAAATAATTTAAGATCTACAAAAAATATATCTACAGGAGATGGCATAAGAAAAATCTCACCAAAATTACTCCACAACAATAATTAGTTGCAATCAAATAAAAGTCACTCAGATTTATCATTTTTCATGGTGAATTTAAACAACAATAATTAGCTGCAATCAAATAAAATTCAATCAGATTTATCATTTTTCATGGTGAATTTTTAAAAAATAAAAAATATATAATCACCATTGCAAAAAATATTCAATGGTAGACTAAACGAGCCTAGATCTGAATACCAAAACGAAGCTAGATCTTACTACAACTATGCTCAAAATCATATATTCCATATCCATTAACCATAGGCTGCTTTAAAAATTCTCTCTTAAGTATTTTCTAAATTTGTTGTTCACACGATGAGTTGGGAAAAATTTATACCAAATTTATTATGATGTATTCATATTAAAGAGAATTCCTAATCCATTAAACTTCAAATCAGCATGCAACCTTTTGCAACATCAAAATATTGCATAGAACCCAACTGATAATTCCAATCGAAAAATTATAAAAAAAACAAAAAAAAACACTTACACTTATTAAAATCCACATAGAAGCTTATAGAAGCCCTATATTAACTTTGTCCATCCATACTCGAAATATGGAACTCACCTTCCAAATCTGGAAAATTATCTTCTATCAGTTCATGTTTTGGTCTCCTTCCAGAGAGATCCATTTTGTTTTTTCGTTTTTTATTTTGTTCTTTTTACTTTTCAACTAGACCAATATATTCCTTTTTGTCCATACATTTTTGTACTTTGGTGGGTTGTCCAAAAGTATATTATATTTTATTTTTTCCAAATGCACTGATATTGCCAGATTTTAATAAAACAAATAAATACATATAGAGACGCGTACAAACATAAATGACTTGCAATAAATGAATACTGAAGGCACGCGCATCAATATTCCTAAGAAGTCGTTTCTTTGTCACATATTACTTTATTTCATTATTAAATTAATAAATTATTTATTAATTATTTTTAAAATTACACTTGCTATTAATTTTTTTTTATTTTTTTTCACATTTGTTTTTCTATCAAGTATATTATAATATTTAAGTTGTGCTAAGTTGTGCATTATTTTAATTTATAAAACTTTCAACGTACCTTTAATTTATAAAACTTTTATCATACTTTTAATGTAGCATGGATTGCTTTCTTTCAAACGTCCTAAATAACGTGACGCAAAGCAAATTTTAAATATTCAATCAAAGTTTTATCTATTTTTCATATATTTAAAAAAAAAATATAGTACTTTATCCTTATTATTTTTGTAATATATGTTCCTTATCTTAAATATTTAATTAATCTTTGTATAATAAATTTAAAAATTACATTTAAATTTTACCTTTTTAACATTTTATAATATCCACGCAACGCGTGGGTACGTATGCTCGTTTATAATATTAAGACAGAGGCATTTTCTCCTCTTCTCTCCAATTTTCCTAATTAACATTTTAGGGTTTCTGGATTGCGATTGTTGGAGAAGAAACAATGGCGTCAGTGTCAATTGGAATCACCAGCCTAGAATTCCGAGACATCGTCAACTACATCGGCAACTCCATCGACGATGGCATCAATATGTATTGAGTGTGCTAGACCAATAATTTTGTTACCGAAGAAAGTAAGTATACCTACCTCAAGGTCACTTAGAACACCTCTCTAATTACCCGTCCATAGTTATCCTCTTCTTAGTTTCAATTTTGTTGAAAATTTGGTACAGATTGATTAAAATATTTGCTTGTGTAGGTTTCTATTATCATTTCTAGACTGAATTTTCCAATCCTACTATCCAATAAAGTTCTGAATGTTGACTAAATTTGAAGGAACTGGATATTGTTATGTGCAATTGTAATACCATCGTGTTATATATCTATTCTAGATTATATAAATATAAATTTGTTCTACTAGAGTTGTTTTCGATAGATCATCGGCTCTAATATTAAAGACTCTCGGCACTAGGTGGAATAGGGGGAGGGGGATGTCCAAGTCATGAAGAAAATTGTATGGTTTGGGTTTGCGTACTCTCTACCCTTCCCAGATCTCACTCGTGGGATTACACCGAGTATGTTGTTGTAGTTGGCTAGTTGCAATAACGTATGGAACAAATACTGTTGCAATGTTGCTTTCAATTATGGCACTGATGTTGTAGTCTGTTTATGTATATTTGGTCCAAGAAATGAAAGTTGTATTATTCTGAGTCTATTCTTTTTATAGAAAGACCTTAATGTTTTGGTCTTTTCTTCTTCTTGCAGGCAGAAACACTACTAGGATACTAGGACTAACTCCACTCTTTTTCTTCACGTTATTGGAGGGGCTGGCGAATTTTTTTTCCCCAAAACACTGTTCATTTGTCAATGGGCCATTTAGCTTTTTTCAGCTGCATACTATCAGTTAATTTCTTCTTTTATAGTTTGGTATCTTAGATTAGTCCTTGTTATGTTAACTTACATTTTTTTCTGAAAATTAAAAATGATGTCTACAATAGTCGGAAGATCACGACAACCGTAGTCGGCGTTATTAAATTAATAAAATATTATTTAATAAGTATTCTGACTACAGTAGTCAATAGTATTTAAATTAATAAAATATTATTTTACTACCGTTCTGACTACAATATATAGTCAGCAGTTCAGGTACTTTAATGGTCGAGTTTTAATTTATATGTAGTGACTATGGTAGTTGGCAAGTATTTTCCAACGCTCAGTCTGCCGACTACTCAAAAGTAGTCGAAGAGTCATCGGAAAACGCCATTTTCCGATTACATTCCGACCAATTTTGAAGTCGGCAAACAACGAAATTCTAGTAGTGTAATATATTCAACATTTGTATTAAATGTCGCTATTTTAGCAACACTTTAGTTAAAATTCGCTAAAATCAATGACATTTTACAACAAATGTCACTATTTTAGTGACATTTTTTCTAAATGTCACTAAAAATCAATGACATTTTGCAGTAAATGTCATAACATATTCGACATTTATATTAAATGTCACTATTTAAGCGATATTTTTTCTAAATGTCACTAAAACCAATGACATTTTGTAATAAATGTCATATTATATTTGACATTTGTAGCAAATGTCATCATTTAAATGACATTTTCGCTAAATGTCGCTAAAAACAACGACATTTTGCAATAAATGTCATTATCATAGTGACATTTTGGACCAAATGT